GTAAATCGGCCTGTCCAGATCGGTTATCCGAGTAATTTGATACTTGTTGTTCCGGTTCAAGTTATTTTGGAATTTTAGTTAAATTTCTGAGCCAAGTCAGTCTAATATAGCAGTGTCAGTTCCTGTCCGGATTTAATGTCAGTTAACATAGAACCTTAGACTATTCTAGCTAATTGGGATAAGTTAGTAGTTTGATTCGAGCATCTTAGCATTTATTTGAGTATGTCTGAGCATAGTACTTAGTAATTGTTTATTTAATATATTTTTACAGTTTGAGCAGTCAGCAGACCAGTCAGCACTTACATTTCAAATCTAGCAGTACATATGGTGACCCAGTCTGGGTATTATATTGATATAATTACAGATATCATGTTCGAGGTATGTATTTACAGTATCCGCTTAGGGTGGTGGCTCCAGTTCGCTGTAAGTCCATCCTAAGTTCTGGTGGTGGTCCTAGTTCGCCTTAATATACCACTAGAGTGTGCACATGGTTAACGGCCCATATTTTTCGGGAGATTTCAGTACAGTTTCAGTTTCAGATCATATATATTGTCGATCATGATATTGTTATTATTATTGTTGTTTACTTTAGTACGGGTTTCTGCGGAGCACAGTGGCCTTTCGTGCTCACGCCCCCACTTTTTTTTCTTTTTCATATAACAGGGTCGGGCGGAGGGGTGAGCTCAGCTTGGTGGTTGTGGTCGTGGACTCGGCCAGATGCCGTTTTGTGGATTTTGTTTATATTTATGCCACGTTTCATTTACGCTGATATTTAAAGTTTTCAAACTTGCATGTCAGATTTTAGATTTTGGTCCGAGTCAGTAGTCGGATCTTGTTCAGTTTCACATGCTAGTTTGTTAAATATATAATCTGTTTTTCTTTATGTCTAAATCAATACTTAGGCCAGTTAAAGAAAAACAGGTATTCAGAATAGAAATGATTTGGTAGCATCCCGAATAGAGATTTTGCAAATTAATAAGTTTTTATTTGAAAAGATTTTGCGAAAAATTGACTCTGATATTAGTAATAGTGTATGATAGCGGGGTGTTACAATACCCATGAACAACCATACTACCTTTTTCAAAATTAAACCAAAACAAACTAAAAATTGTAAACAAAACCTAAATTTTATATGTATTACCGAATTTTTTCAATGAAAGTTATACTAATGAAATATCCGTTTGAGGGAAAAAAAGCTCTCTCTGAAGAAAACTCTCGCAGAAGAAAAAAACTCGCCGCCTCCCCTCAAATTTGACGTCGTTCGCTTTCATCAGCGGCCATCAAGCTTCGCCGGCGGTCGCTGGCCTTAGCCGCCTGGATCCCGCCCCTTATTTCTGCTCCACCTTTTAATTTCGATCGATTTGGGTCTCACCTGTAGCGGATGGTCTTCGTGTATCCGGCGCCGGTTCGTGAATACAGGTAGGTGGTCCCTATGTCGTGAGGTGGTGGAGCCGTTGTGCGATTTCGGGGGCAGGACACAGTT